TTCTAAAAAAAAAAAAAAAAGAAGTAGTTGCATTAATTAGGAAAGTCATGATTTTTCCTTCATACTTAATGGTCATATGAGAAATCGCAACTATACTTATTAAAGGAATACAAAAACAAATCAGCCCATTCCCAGAAACATACTGCGCTCCTCCAGAGGATGGACGCCTTGTGCCATCCACCTCAGTAGGGCCTTGCCATTGCCTGAGTCAGGGGAGGGGCCCAGCACTCCCTGACCACAATGTAAGCAGCTTTGCTTCCTTGCCACATACCCAAAAGTAATGGCCAAGTAATCATGGACTGGAATCTCAAATTAGCCAAAATAAATCTTGATCATCTCAGGTATTATAGTAATGGAAAGCTGATACATAAGTATAAAGCCATATTTTTGTTACTGAATCTTTCTACACTTGTTACTTGTATAGTTTTTTGTGTAGGTTCACTGGGGAGCAAGGATGGGCCACTGTTTGAAGCATCTACCAAGCATGCTTTATGCATAGGTTTCCTTAATGTGCAAATGAATCCTCCACTGGGCAATGCTATGGGGACTATACTGAAATATCTTCAGCAGCCAAGATTCTAGTCCATGATTCAGTCCATGACACAGGCATCCTCTAGACTATTAGAAAAGTGGAAGCTTCAGGTTCAGATTCCCTAGCTAAATATTGCTGATGGAGTAGAGCTACAAGCTGCACATCCTCCTCCAGACTTCTCTCTTGCAAGGGCCTACCCAGGATTTACTCCTCCAAGATCGAAACAAACAGTTCTGTTTAGCATCTTCTGTACCTAGTGGAAAATCCAGGTGTTTTAACAAGTACAGTCTTGAATACCCTCTAACACTTGCCATAGCAAAGAGTAGTTTGAAAACAGGATTGCAAAGTGGCACCTCACTTTCACAAAACTGTCCACCTTGGTATCTTTCAAATTCAAAGTTTGCTTTTAGGATCTCATCTACCATCCCCGGGAGGGACAAAAGAGTAGGGATCATTCATCCCATTTGAAAGATCACTTATGTAAGGCAGGCAAGTGGCAGAAAGTGGTTGCCTTAAAATGCATCAGAGAAGGTGCAGAAAGAAATTGAGGTTTCCTGGTTCACAGTTCAGATATAGCAAGTTCCTTTGACTATGAGAGCCCTAGGAAGAATGCCAATTCTTGTCCATGCATGTGGAACAGGCTTTAGGAGCCATTCCCTCTGCTTCTGTCTTCTGGAAGAGATTGTAGAGAATTGGTATATTTGCTGATCTAAATGTTGTGTTTTGGAAGATTATTAATTACTGATCCAGTTTCTTTAATAGATAAAGGCCTATTCAGATAGTCTATTCCAAAGGTAGTTTTGGTGCCCTTCACAATGCTAAACCACTTACACCAATTCCTATTTCACGTGGTGACATTATT